GCTCCGCTAGTTCGAATTAAGTTCGAACTAGCGGTTTGTAAGTGTAGCGCCTATGAAAGTTAATTCGAACTAACGGCTGTTAGTTAGAATTAACTTTGTATTGTAGACATATCCAAAGTGATTAAGGACTTGAATCAAAGGCCATGACACAGATGAGTCTTTTTATTGACTTCAGTAGTCTTTGGTTCAGGATCCCAGTCTTTTTTGTTAAAATTATATTACTTCTTTTTGGTCTTCACAGAGGAGAAAAATGAGTATTAACCAGGGTTATCATTTTATTCCATATACTAGATCTTGTGTAATGAGGAAACAAACAAAAAAACCTACTACAGTTGAACCTCTCTAGTCCAGCACTCCTTGTTCTGACAATACCCATGGTCTGGCATGATTTTATTTAGCTGGATGTGTCACTCAGTGTGCAGGAGTCACTGGGCCCTGCACCCCTATATGCAGCCATATGTGACTTTCTGCCAGCAAGTAGAATGGAAGGTTTATTCATTGACAGGGACACAGCGTAGCTCAGACTTGTTGTGACAAGAATCAGGAGCCTTCAGTTCAACCCATCTTTGGGGATAGGGCCAGCTAGATTCCCTTCTCTCTAAGCCAGCTGAAAAACTAACTCACACACTTAGCAACTAGTCACCTAGCCTCCAGGCTGCTCCACCTACTCTTTTTTCCTGCTTACATAATCTACTGGTTCTGCAACATCAAACACAAATAACTCTCTCTCCCATCTGTTCTGGGACCATTGTTTGCACCCGACCCATGTTCCTCGTGGTGCAATTTTGCATAATGAAATAGTTCAACAATTGCAAGGCTTCCTATCCTCCAAATAGAAAAGGTTATGTCAGATGGATAGTCATTTGCCAATGTTTTCAAAATGATATTACAATTGATTCATACTCAAAAATCATTCAGAAGTCCATATTTTAGCAAATCATTAGATTTTTTTAAAACAATCACATTTTAAAATTATTTTACAAATGTATCCTTAGTATCTATTTATTGTTGGTTTCTTCTAAACTCTCATCACATTCAGTGAATGTCAAAACTCATATTGATATTAGCAGGAGAGGATGGTACTGTGATAGTCACTTTCAAATGAGGCAAAATGTAGTAGCTTTCATCCAATATGGTCCCCCCTGCCAATGGTCATTCTGTTGTGGTAGTGCTCTCTCTTCACAACTCAGTCTTCTGGCTTGGTCATTATGTGACACACTGAGTAGTTTTGTTTGACCAGCTGTCCATATGGCACCCCTTCCAAGTGGAAGCTAGGGAAATGTTGTCCCCCCCTCCCATATTGTGTTCCAGTCTAGGCACCCTATGTACAGCACTTATAGTCTATTTGCTCCCAGACCCCACTGCTATTTTCCTGGATTCCCTCCTACTTCCCTTCTCTATCCCTATCCTCTTCTAGATTCGCTAACCTAAATTCTTTGAGTAGCTTTGTTTGACCAGCTGTCCATATGGCACCGCTTCCAAGTGGAAGCTAGAGAAATGTTGTGTCCCCTCCCCATATTGTGTTCCAGTCTAGGCACCCTATGTACAGCACTTACAGTCTATTTGCTCCCAGACCCCACTGCTATTTTCCTGGATTCCCTCCTACTTCCCTTCTCTATCCCTATCCTCTTCTAGATTCGCTAACCTAAATTCTTTCCTCCCAGGCAACAACTGTAACTGCTCTCAGTCCCTCCTCCCAACTTCTTACAGCCTAAATTCCTTCCTCCCAGGCAACAACTGTAACCGCTCTCAGTCCCTCCTCCCAACTTCTTACCAAACTCTGTAGTCCCAAAGAAATCTTCCTTCTCCTAGGGAGTGACCGCAGAGTACTTCCCCTGCAATCCTTTCCTTTTCTTCTTTCTTCTGTTCTTTTTTCAATCATTTTCTAGCAAAACAGCCTTAGCAGCATCTATAGCAGTTTTCACATAAGCAAAAAATAATTTCCTTTCACCCTTTCTTGTATCCATAAAAAAGCAAAAGCAATACTTTATAAATGCTATCACTATCTTGGTATTCATTAATCCTTTTAGACTATATTCTTTTACCTTGAGGCATCTCAGTTCTTCATAAAGAATCTTTCTGTGTAATGCTTCCTGCATTGCCACAGCAGATGCTCAACTGTTCCTTGGACTTTGCATGTATCACACAACCAGTCCTTGTACTTATTTAGTAAATATAAATTGCCATTCAGGTCACAGTGACCTGTTGGCAATCTAAATATAGTTACTTCACTTCATTTATCATAGCTATTAAGTATATCATTGTCCTCGAGTTTAGGACATATTTTACAGAATCTTCATCCTTTTTTTTTGTTTATTTTTTGCTTTGGTCCATAGTTTTCTTGCCATTGCTCCTTAATTCCTCTCTTAACCTAACTTTTGGAGTCCTGAGTACTCAGAGGGATTTTTACATCAACCGCCAATTTGTAAATCATTTTGTCAACTTTATCTGTCTTATTATTGACCAGTATCAATGCTCGCAGTAATCCTTATATTAATTGGAATCGACACTATTACTATATGTATATCTAGTTGTACTAACTCCATAGCTAAGAACAGTATTTCATTATTTGTGTCATTCTTACTTTCCAAGACTTTTAATTGCCATTATACCAATAAAGGGTCAGATAGGAGAGCAGTCATGTATAGACAAGAGTCCCTTATCCAGGTGAATGCTCGCAGTAAGCCTATTACAATGACCACAGGATTAGACAGTCTCATAGATCTCTGATAGAAATGTAGCCGTGTTAGTCTGGGGTAGTTGAAGCAAAATGCAGGACTGCATTTTGCTTCATAGATCTCTAAATTCCTACCTCGAGGATACAAGCTTGTTCCCACTCTACCAGTTTTGTCCTGGCTACAGCAGACAGTATTAATTTGGCAGTGCTGACCTCCTTTGCTAGGTATAGCCTTAGTCATCTTATTTGACAGTCCTGCTCTTCCCTTTGTTTTATTGTATAATTCCAAATAAAAAACTGGAGAGTAGGGATGAGGGGCTCTCCAGGGCTACGTCTACACTGTAGCCTTCTTGCGGAAAAGCTTATGCAAATGAAGCTCGGCATGGAATATTGCCGTGCTTTATTTACATAATTAATGAGCAGCCGTTTTTGCGCAAGAGGCTTTTGCGCAAAAAGGAGATGTGTAGACGGCTCTTGCACAAGAGGGTTTTTTGCGCAAAAAGGAAGAGTTGATTGTTCCTAATTCCCAACAGTCCTTATATATCCATTTTGTACTCTTATCTTTCCTGTTTCCATTAACTTTCACCCAAAACTTTAAACCTGACAATTTAATTCTTAAATGTATAGACATTTTGCTGGTTGCTAGCTGCAGCACATACAATGGATTCGTGATACTTGCACTACATATGTTATTCATAGAGCTTGTGCTATGATTTACTTTAATTTTTAATGGTTGGTTTAGAAGTTGAATTAAAGGCTTGGTGTCCATGATTTAAAACAGGTCTTATTAATATTCTATACAGCATCAGTGACTTCTAACATTAGATATTTATCAGGAGAAGTTTGTTGATACAGGAAAAATGTATCTTCTATTAAGAGATCTGGCAAAAAGAAGGAAATATCAATCATTTGATGACACTCCACAAAGAGAGAGAAATCAGACTGAGAACACTGCAAAAGAGGATCCTGTTTTGGGTGATCTTGTTTCTTCTGCTGTTGTTCTAGAAAAGAAAAGCAATTTAGAAAGAAAACATCTCAGACTCATAAGGGACCCCCTAAAATTGAATTTAACAAAAGTAAACTCTCTCAACATCAGCCCCTTCCAGAAGAAGATCGTATAAAAAATGGAATAAGGGATCTTTCGGAAAAGGCTTTATTTTCTGAAAGATCCCCGTCTAGACTGGCGCTTTTTTCCGGCAAAGCTCCGAGCCGGAAAAAAGTGGCAGACATGTTTATGCAAATGAAGTGGGGGGGATTTAAATCCCCACTTCATTTGCAATTGCGATGTGTCTAATTTGCATCCCTTTTACGGAAAAGGGATGCAGTCTAGACACAGCCTTAGTAAATGATTACAGCATCTGTCAAATTGACCTATATGCAGAACTAGAGGGGTTAGGCATTGTAATTTCATTTTTTGACAACAAAGAGGAAACATATATTTGGCACAACACAGTAGTCTTGTTCCCTAGAGTAAATTGGGGCACAGCACTAAGGTAATAATTTCCAAGAATCCTCTCTTTGAAGGGAAATATATGAAACTAGAATCAGAAATAGTCAAGCTTACTAAAGATGAAAAGCAAGTACTAGGAGAAAAGAAGACACTGCCATTTACATCAGTGGGTCCATAAAAGTGCAGGGAGGCATTTGGATTGCTTACAAGAAATCAGTTTGCAAGTCATCATTTGCTGGAGGAAGGTGTGTACCAGAAATAGAAAAATTGGGGTGGTTATAGAGAAGAGCTGTAACCTATTCCAGATTTCACAACCCCCCATATGATGTTCATTGAAAAATACTTGGTGACTAAGAGTTCCAATATTAATGGTTTAGGAATTATTTCCAATTTGAGAAAACACAATCCATAAATGTGTTAAGTGGAGAGTGCTTTGTCTATGAGAATCCTGACTTTACAGGGCAGCATACTTGAGAAATGACTGTATCCCAGCACTGAGGAGCCACAAATTATAAGATCTCTTCAGTTCTGTCTACAGTTGTGAATATCTTCAACAGCCAGATGGGGAAATAAAATGTCCAGTTATTTTCATAACTAGATTTCAAAAGTTTGGACCGTTTGCTAAAATGTCTTTGAAGATTTTGGGTGGCAGCTGTATTGTATACGATAAAGAAGATTTATCTGATATTCAGTATTTGTTAGAAGTAACCTTTCCTAAATAGTCTGAAATGGGACACCCACTCCAAATAAGCTTTAATATCCATATGTTATAAACATTAAGTTAGTCTGAAATGGGACATCCATTCCAAATAAGCCTTAATATCCATATGTTATAAACATTAAGCTTTCTGGCTCATTCATAGATATCTTTGAAAAGGAAGGTTTCAAGTGGAAGAAAATTGAATAAATCTCCAGTTTCAAAAATACAATCCTCAAATAGCATCAGTTCAAGTTCTTGGTGCAATGTGGGTAATCTGTGAGTACAGCAATTACAGAAGGCATCAGAAACTGCTGTCTCAAAATGAAATCCCAGATCAGTATAGATTAAGTGGCTAGCACCAAACAGGCTCCTTACATCTTTTATTAGAAAAACATGTATATCTCTAAATTTGAAATAAGAAAATTGGAAAGTATGTCAACTGATAGAAATATAGATTTGAATCTTCTCTGGTTACAATTTAGGGCACATTACCCCAGAAGAGTAATGTGCCCTAAATTGTGTGTGAGGTGACTCTCTCTCTCTCTTTTCTTTCTGCTTCTCAGCTGGTAGGTACACATCAGCAAGGGGGTTTTGTTTTGCTTCTCACTTGTATGTGGTTCTCAGCTGGTAGGGACACATCAGCAAGGGGTTTTTGTTTTGCTTCTCACTTGTATGTGGCTGGTGGTCCCAGACTGATTTTTCTGTGGGTCGGTGCCCCCAGATGCAAAAAAGGTTTCCCACACCCGCTTAAAATACCTCCAAGCTGAGAAACCAGATTTGCATAAGTAAGTGATTTCAAATGGTAGAAGCACTTTACTTGCTGTAGTTGAGATTTGGGTCTAGGCTGTTTTTAGATAAACTCAAAAATTAGCCAGAGGCTGAGATTGGAATTGCTGCTTCAGAATGGAATCACATAAAATGTCACTCAATTCCTCTTGGCTGTGTCTAGACTGGCCAGCTTTCTCTTTCCGGAAAATCAGCCACTTTTCTGGAAAAACTTGCCAGCTGTCTACACTGGCCGCTTGAATTTCCGCAAAAGCACTGACTTCCTACTGTAAGAAATCAGTGCTTTTTGCGGAAATACTATGCTGCTCCTGTTCGGGCAAAAGTCCCTTTTGCGTAGACAGCTGAGATTTGTTTTGTGCCAAAAAGCCCCGATCGCGAAAATGGCGATTGGGGCTTTTTTTGCGCAAAAGTGCTTTTGCGGAAAAGCGTCCGTACCAATCTAGACGCGCTTTTCCGAAAATGCTTTTAAAGGAAAACTTTTCCATTAAAAGCATTTCCGGAAAATCATGCCAGTCTAGACGTAGCCCTTGAGTTTTCAAGGTGAGATTTTAATTTTGAGGTAAGGCAATGGGCAGTCAAATGGTTTTCTTATCCAATTAAATATGGTTAGGTTACAATCAACAAAACATTTCAAAAACTAGGATTGGAATGTAGAGACATTTTCTTTTATATTGCCAATGATAAGGCTATTGGATGAGAAATCCAGGAAATCGTTCTGTATTGAAAACATTTGAAAAATGTTGTTGTTGACTTGTGATTTCCAAGTATTTTCACTTAAGGCATTAATTTTGTCATTGAGTTTGAGAATGTTAGTTTCTTTTTCCTTGTAATGCTACTCATTCAATGAATTTAAACAGTCAAAAATATCAGCTAGATATGTGAAACAAAAACAGGACTATGTAGCACTTAAAAGACTAACAAGATGGTTTATTAGGTGATGAGCTTTCGTGGGCCAGACCCACTTCCTTAGATCAAATAGTGGAAGAAAATTGGCACAACCATATATACCAAAGGATACAATTAAAAAAAATGAACACATATGAAAAGGACAAATCAAATTTTAGAACAGAAGGGGAATAGGGGGGAAGGGGACGTAAATGTCTGTGAGGGTATGTCTACACTACCCCGCTAGTTCGAACCAGCGGGGTAATGTATGCATACCGCACTTTCTAATGAAGCCCGGGATTTGAATTTCTCGGGCTTCATTAGCATAAGCGGGGAGCCGCCATTTTTAAATCCCCGCTGCTTCGAACCCCGTGCAGCGCGGCTACACGGGGCTCGAACTAGGTAGTTCGGACTAGGTTCCTATTCCGAACTACCGTTACTCCTCGTGAAATAGGAAGCCTAGTCCGAACTATCTAGTTCGTGCCACGTGTAGCCGCGGGCACGCAGTCCGCACTAGCGGACATTTAAAAATGGCAGCGCCCGGCAACATGCAAATGAAGCCTGGGAAATTCAAATCCCGGGCTTCATTTGCAAGTTTGTATGACTACATTAACCACCCCAGTTCGAACTAGGGTGGTAGCGTAGACATACCCACATAGACCAATAATTGCTGCCAACAAAACATCAGTAGATTCTGTAAGGAAAAGAACTAGTTCTTTTGAATCCTTTCCATCATTGGCTCTCTTATGTCATTGGACATGTTGTCAATATGACAATTCACAGTGCAATAAATCTCAGCCAAATGGCAGCATATTTGCCAATCATAGTTTCTCATATTTGTTTAGCCTCAAGAAGAAGAGAGTCGAGATGGTGTGAGATTTTTTGCTTTAGTGATTAAAAGTGAAACAGGATAAGCTACCGTCAGAGTTTGGCTGTCATAATTGATTTACAGATAACAATTTCTGTTGCTCAAGTTCTTGAAGATTTCCTTTAAAAAAATCCAGAATTCTCCATGTATGTAAATGTTGCTGGATTTTATTTGTTTTTAGGCTGCTATTGACCAAAATTTCATTGCACAAAACACACTGGGGACTTGGAATGTCTTCTGAACCAGAGTAAGTAAATCCAAATGCAAAATTACAACTTAAGTATTTTGTGTTTTTCACCACACTTGTGATTCCTAACTCCCGTTCTCCATCATCTGTCATCTTCAGGACTCCTCCTCTTGGCATAGTTAGGATGGCTTGGTATGCTATTGCCACCTTTACTTCTGAGCTACAGCTGCTGGCAGTACTGCCTTCATGGCTGAATGCCTGGCCATCACTCTTGCAATACACAATATCAGGCCCGCTGACAGGGTGGTCAAGAGGGCAGTTCTCTCAGGTCCTAGCAATTCAAAGGGCCTGGAGCTCTGGGCCCCTTTGAATCACTGCTGAAGCGCCGCTCCATGTGGCTCAGTGGGCTGAAGTTGAGAGGGGTTGTCAGCCGACGGTCAGGGTAGAGTGTGTGTGTGTGTGTGTGTGTGTGTGTGTTACCGAGAAAAGGTTTAACGTCCGTGCCTTTACCGCTAGGACCGGGGTCCCGTCGGATGGTGTTATCGGGGAGGTTATTGATGTTCTGTAGTTTCCTTAGGAAGTCGGTAGTATCTCGGAGATAGCTGGGGGTGTTGGTTGCGTAGGATTTGAGAAGAGAGTCTACATAGCTGGATAAACCAGTAGTGAGCGTGCCGATGCCTGAGATGATGGGACGTTTGGGGTGTCCAGGTTTATGGATTTTGGGAAGCAGATAGAACAATCCTGGTCGGGGTTCAGAAGGTGTTTCCGTGTGGATTTGTTCCCGAGTAGCTGTAGGGAGGCTTTTAAGGAGACATGTAGCTAGATATGTGAGTGCTGTCAACCATCTGATATCACCGAAAGGCTTCTTGAGAAACAAACACAATTCATCTCTCAATTCAAACAGATGAGTTAGAAACCCTCTGTGTGTCAGCCAGAGAACTTCTGTATAGTAATAAGTGCTGATGCACCAATCCCATTTCTCAAAGGAGACTTTTAAAAAATCAGGAATTCAGTGGCTTTGCTTTAATAAAATTCACAATTGCTACAGTGAGATTCAAAATTATTTTAAGATAGAGATCCATGTTCTTGCCACTGTGAATCATCCAGTGTCCACAAGGCTTCTCAGGCCACTTCTTTAAGTCTGGCTGAAGTTCTTTTAAATTGTGCTTGGTTCTGTTACAGCAACTGAAGGAGTCAGGTTAAAGCTTAAACAGTTACAGGTTTATTAAGGAAGCTTATAAATCATATGGCTATTGCTCTATTTCTTAACTGCTAGCAAATATAGATCTTAAAAATGGTTACAAAGAAAATAAAGATAGAAAATAGAAATAATGGTACCAAGTAACAGCTTAATCTTTAAAGAGCTCTAAGTCTATGTGTACACTTAAGACAAAGGACCACATCCAGGTACAATTTTTACCCCCTTCTGTGCCTCTCAACTCCAGCGGGTCAAGCCAGGGCCGGTCCCTCAATTCCTAGGAAAGACGAATACGAGGTGGGCGTCCCCGTGCAACCTCGGGAGGTCATACACCTAACCTGACCAGCAGATAGATAGTAGATTGACACTCAGAGTAAATGTGCTGCTGGACCCATCTTTATACCCATAGGCGCCCGTATCCTCTTTCTTATATAAGATGCCAAATTGTATTGGTCTGTTTCTGTGGAGCCAGTTCTTACAAGCAAGTTTCAAATTAATTTACACTTGCAAGAGAGATAACTAAATTGTGAGTACTAGACATTTTTTTACTGGGTGAAAGATTCCTCTCCCCGCGGACGGCTGTGTGTTCGTATCAATATGGGTTTCACTCAAGGGCACTCCTCAGCAGCCTCTTGGTTCAGCAATTGGCATATCTCTGTTTACAGCCATTCACGGTCACAGCAGCCTGCCATATCCAGGCAAGCAAAATTGGATGTTACAAGGGGGGTTCCTGTCTGGCTACAGGGGTGCACAGTCCTAGCGGCTCTGAGAGCAGGCTGCCCTGTCCCTGTCCCTTCCTCTTGATGCTTGCCCCTTCCAGCAGCATGGAGCTGCCCCCACATGCCTTGCTCAGGGGCCCGCAATAGTTGTCGGCTCCACTTCTTATAATAGTCTTGCAACCCCTTTTTGGACCAGGACCCCCAGTTTGAGAAAACTGGGCTAGAGAATCCATTTAGTAGCAGATCCAACCTTCTTGCCCCACCATCTTATACAGCCCCAAAAGATCTCCCCTTCTCTTATCCATTAGATCGACTCCAATTCCATCCATAGGTCTTGTCTTCACTACATAATTTATCAGGCTATAGAGTTCAACAATTTAAATATCTTGGTTCAGAGTTGATGGAAATGGGACTGTGGAATATTAGGAGTCACAGGAAGAGCACTTGATGGAAATGGAAAGAGCTGATGGGAACGCATCACAAGACCTGTGATTAGGTCACTCATGCTGTATGGATCAGAAGGGTGTCTAATGAGGTAGCGAGAAGAGCAACTTCACTGCTGCCGAAATGAGGATGCTTTTGTGGATGTTGGGTGCAATGAGAACTCATAAGCTATAGAATGAAGTGACTTCTGCCAGGATGCAAGTAGCACCTATCATGGAAAAGCTGAGGGAATAGTGACTGAGAAGGCTGGGTCAGTGCATCGTTTCTCCTCCACTTGCACTGGGGCTGAGAGGTCCCACTGGCTGTTCCCCTCTTTACGCTGGGGCTGCCCCCACCAGGGTTGCCAAAATTTATTTCGTAATAGTACCAAACTTTTCACGAAAAGGTACCAAAACACACAAAAACGTACCAAATTTTAAACATCAATATATAAACCCTATAAAACATCTTAAACAGGAAAAAATACATTTAACTTACATTACATCTTACTAAAACATCGAAATGGAAGAAATACATTCAACTTACCTTATATTTTGTTAAAAGAGAACTTTTTCGTCAACTGCTTCATTACTATACCATCTTTTTTGTTGCATTCTATCACAAAGCTCTTTTGGTGGATTCCACGTTGTGCAGTTAATGTCTTGAAGTAAAGATTTAGATCTTATTAACGCCTTTAAGGTGGACGTTTTCAGAGATGCGCGATTTTTAACTTTAATGTTGTTGAGTAAGGAGAAAACTTTCAGCAGCTGCTGAAGAGTGAGGCAATGAAAGAAGATTGATCATAAATTTTGACAACAGAGAGAAGTGATATTCGTCACCGCATTTTTCTTGAGATATGTTAAACCAAAAATTTTCAGGCATTTTTTCAGCATTAGGAGGTTGATCTTGCGTTGTCAGCTCCCTCCATTCTTTATTTATTTGTTCATAATGTTCTTCATCGACTAGGTTAGAAATTTCATAACTAGTGGGATAATTGATTTAGGCCTTCCCTCAATAACATTAGCTGGGTCCAACGCCTTAAGCAACTCCAATTTTGCAAACAATTCACAAGATAAAAAGCGCTGAAACATCTGCTTTGTAAGGCAAACATAGACATTTAAAATTTTTACTCGAAATTCTTACAATTCTTTCCGGGAAATTTTTCTTGAATTATCCAGGTAAATGCTTTCTACAGTGGCACCACAATAAATGTCATCTATCCTGAGATATGTTGAAGGATCATTAATATTGATTTTACTTATACCATTAGGTTTCAAATTTTCTCGCTTGATGAAATTACTGAGAATCCCTTTAACACTAGTATTAATAGAATTCCTTAACTTATGAATTCTAAATGTTTCTGCTTGATACTCCAAATTGAGCTTATTGATGTCAGGCAAAATGTAAGCTAAGAAAGCATAATACATTTTTGTAATTGGATTTTGTAATCCCTCTAGAATTCTTGAAGCCATAGGAATGCCATCTTCTAATGCAGCAGATGTAAAGAACATTAAAAGTGCAGGCCATTGTTCTAAAATTCTTTTCACCGCTTGCTCAAGGGAAAGCCATCTTGTGTAGCTAATGTGGATATTTTTTTGAGGATTGGTATTTGTAAATTTTTGAAATTCTTTATATTCATTTAGGCGCTTAGGACTATTGCTCAAATATGAAAAAATATTTCTGGCTAACTCTTCTAAATAATGTGGCAGTGCAGTGCAGGCTTTAGGAGCACACAAGTACAATGAATGGCAAACACAAGGTTGTATGAAGATATGAGAAATTTTCTGTTTTAAGAGATGCTGAACTCCTCCTTTGCTTCCCATCATAACAGTAGCATTATCACTGGCAAATCCTATTAGGTTTTCAAAGGAGATTTCATTACTGTTTAAAAACACCTCTATGCAATTATAAATTCCAAGAGCAGTTGTGTCTTTAATTTCTAATGTTAGAAATTTGTCCACTGTTTTTTGAACTTCAGTATCATAATGTCTAGCTACCAGAACAAGTTGCTTGATAGTAGAAATGTCATCAATAATAAGAGAAAATTTTGTCACCTTCAACTTAGAAACTAGGTTACTGAAGTCATGTTCACTGATCACATTAGAAAAAATGTATGTTCCTTTGGTTTTAGCACACTTGATATCCTTTGCTATTTTTGAATCTGGACAAACGTTTGCAACGAGGCCAGGCAAATGATCCAAAAGGGCTATAGGTAAATTGTGTTCTGCAATAAATCCACACAGTTTAAGCTCAGCAGCTGCTATCTGTGCTGAGTGAATAGAGGATGGACCAGGTTTCATAAAGTCAGTTACTTTTGAAGTTTGTTTTGTAGATTTTAGGTTTTTTTGATGCTTTTCTGTTTTCATTTCTTTCAATTTGACTTAAACTACCAGCAGTTTCGCAATTGCATAATTTGCAGAAATCTTTACCTGAGCTGTATTTACTAACTACTAGCCAGCCAGAAAATTTTTCATGTGTCAACAACTTCGACGGCAATTTTCTCTCGTAAGAAGCTGTACACTTTTGTTTTTTTCTCTTCGGAGTGTTATCCTTATCATTTTCATCACTATCTGAACGAATAACCATATTTTTCTCTTCACTCATAATGGGTTCACCAAAAACAACGTGAAAACACAAAATGTTCACAAAGGATTTGTAAAAGTAAGCAAACAACGCCGAGTAACCGGAACACAGCGCTAACTGCATCACTGCAACTCAAACTGACGCCAGGGCGGCTGGGCCAGTGACGCGGCCACGTGAAGAAGAGGAATACATCACATGATTGCATCACATAACACAATACACGCAGTCACAGTTTTGTCTCCCCAGGCTTCATTTGCATAATAAACTGAAAAGATATTAATGAACATGTATCCGATGTAAGAAATGTTAACGTTTTAAAAATGAGTGTGGAACATGAAATTATAACTTAGAGGCAAAAATTTATAATATTAGCACAAAAATTCCTAAAACGTACCAAAAATATCAGGCGTACCAAACGTACAACAGGAGGTAAATAGGACCAATAGCAACTATGGCAGCCCTGGCCCCCACTTGCACTGGGTTTGGGGAGGAAGCTAGAGGTTGCCTCCTCTCACACTGTGGAAGGGGGTTCATGGTCCATTATTCCCCCCCCTCCCCCTCCCCCATGCACGGTTTGGTTGGTCCCAGCTGCCCGTTAGCTCTGATTAGGGTGGTAGGAACGCGCTGCCCTGTCTGTCACGGCGAGGAGGTGGGGTTGAGGGGGACATGTGTCCGCCCATAGTGGGCTGGGGTCGGCGCCCGTGATAGGTCACTTGGCGGAGGGAGGTGGGGCAGAGTAGTCTACGCCTTCTCTGACTGGGCGGGGACTAGGACGCCTGTCTCGCGCGGGGGAGGCGTTAGTGCGGGT